CACATTTGAAGAGGCTGACAGGCTCTGTAAGAAAATACCTCACAGTGGGGGAATAGTTGCACCCCTGGGGGGCAGGAGCTGCCCAAAATTGCCCCATAGACTTACATGAAATGGGTCGTCCTACACATTGCATTAGGGTTTTATATTGAACATAGCTCTGGATCACAGTGTCATAGAGACAAAGGGGCGGGCTCATTTTACTCATACGACCAATCAGTCTCTCAGGATCATTGTGTAGCTATCAAGCCACGCCCTAGCAACCATTTAGAGCACCTTAGCAACAACTCCAATAGACTTCCATTGAAATAGATTGAAGGGATATCTCCGGATAGAAGTGTCATAGAAATATGTGGGTGGTCTCGTTTGACTCCGGGTAGCACAGAGCCAATCATGAATCACCTCAACAATTTCTGGCCACGCCCTAGCAACCATTAACAAGTACCTTAGCAACCAAATTCTAAAGAGGGATATCTTCCATTCTGAATGTCACAGAGTCATGAGAGTTGATTTATATAATTCATAGTGACAAGCACCATTTGGAGATTCATCACTGGCAGCTGCCAAGCCACTCCCTAGCAACTAAACAGAGTACCCTAGCAACCATTAAGCAAGATTTATATCTCTGCATCAGAACAACATATAGAGATGGGGATCGGTTTAAATCATTCATACTGACAAGCTGCCTTTGGAGTTTCATGATTGGCAGCTGTCAAGCCAGTCCCTAGCAACCAAACAGGGTACCCTAGCAACCATTTTTTAACAGCTATATCTCAGCATCAGAACATTGTATCGCGATGGGGGTTGGGTCTTTTGACTCATGCTAGCACACAGGACTTTCAATATGCTAAACATGCTAGCTGTGAATAGCTAAATGCTAATATGGATACTTTATAGTAACCATATGTGAACACTACAAACCAAGTAGCAATACCATAGCAACCACCCAGGACACCCTAGCAACCACCTAGCAACACCATAGCAACCACCCAGAATACCCTAGCAACCACCTAGCAACACCATAGCAACCATCCAGAACACCTTAGCAACTACCTAGCAACACCCTAGCAACCACCAGATCACCCTAGCAACTGCCTAGCAACACCATAGCAACCACCCAGAACACCCTAGCAACCACCTACCAACACCCTAGCAACCACCAAGAACACCTTAGCAACTGCCTAGCAACACCCTAGCAACCACCAAGAACACCCTAGCAACTGCCTAACAACACCATAGCAACCACCCAGAACACCCTAGCAACCGCCTAGCAACACCATAGCAACCACCCAGAACACCCTAGCAACCACCTAGCAACCACCTAGCAACACCATAGCAACCACCCAGAATACCCTAGCAACTGCCTAGCAACACCATAGCAACCACCCAGAACACCTAGCAACCGCCTAGCAACACCCTAGCAACCACCAAGAACACCCTAGCAACTGCCTAGCAACACCATAGCAACCACAATAGTCTATCTATCTATCTATCTATCTATCTATCTATCTATCTATCTATCTAACTCTATCTATCTATCTATCTATCTATCTATCTATCTTTAAACTAAGTTAAACTTAATTTAAACTTTAGACTAATTGAAACTTCAAACTACTTTAAACTTCTTCAAACTTTCTGTTCCAAACTTTCACAAGCCAACTTAAAGTTTGTCTCGACGAACTTTTTAATCTAGTTCTTTCTATTATTAATAAACGACACACGCATCCGTGTGCTCAAAGTGAGAAGTTGTCTGTTGCAATTTACTGCAATATTAATTTCCACAATATTACCAAAACCCATTGAGATGGTACATCAACTTACAATAAGGCTGAATGACACATATGCCGTATCCTGAAGGTGCCTGTAGTAGTGTTGTTTTTGGTGGCCTGTTTTAATTTGAGTTTTAGTCTAGTCTTTGTGTCAAGCTGACATTTTAGTTTTTGTTAGTTTTAGTCATGTTCATACTCTTTTTAGTCTAGTCTAGTTTTAGTCGACGAAAACCGATGACATTTTAGTCTAGTTTTAGTCGACGAAAGACATAGTCTAGTTTTAGTCCATGAAAATTGTATTTTAGTTTTATTTTAGTAGGCAATTGTATTTAACCCAGTCAATATATAAGAAGCCTACCTAGTTATAGGCTAGCCTAGACGAAACCAATTTTTTTTTCTTTTAGCCAAACCCATTTCAAACAATCTTATCTTCTTATAGTTATCTTCTTATATTATTGTTACCTTATAGACTCAAAAATGATTCCAGGAAATCGCTCTGAATTGAATTTACAACACATTTATTTTACCAACCAAACATGTTAGTAGCCTGCCCTACACACATGATGAAATTAAAGTTTTTTTTTTTTTTTCTTCTTTTTCTCCCAAAGACGAAGCCCCTTCTCTGTGTCAGACTTAACTTTGTTTGTTGTCGTTTATGCTAACGCCTGTTTCACACACTGCATTTGCAGTGCGTATTTTTCCCGCACCCATACATACAGTTATAAGTAACAGTTATAGATTAGCGCTCATACCGCGCGCTCTGAGAGCGGTGCGTGCATAACAGCAGCAGAGCAGAGATCTACACAGCACCTCAACAATGCGACACAATGGATGTAGGCTAAAATACTGATTTGAAATAAAAAATAGAGAATAAATGTTGTGATTGTGGTACAGCCGTAGACCAGTTGCGCACTGCAAACGCAGCACATGTAAAAGCAATAATGCGCGCTGCTCCTGCATACACACTGCAACACGCACCGCATACACGCTACACACGGTGTGTGTGTGAAACAGCTGTAACTCACGCAACTGCTTCTTCTAAATAATGTCACGAGTGGGGCTTGAGGATCTGAAGTCGCCTGCGTTTGCACAGTGCGATCTGATGCAGCCCCTGAAGTGACACAGGAAACAGAAATGCTGCATACTAATAATGCATGTAGGCTAAACGAGACGAAATAAAGTTAAATAACATCTCTTCTCGTTTTGGTCAACGAAAATTAAGAGACATTTTAGCATACTTTTTATTTTTGTAAACCACATTTAGTCTCGTTTTTATTCGTCAACGATATTGCATTATACATTTAGTTATAGTCATCGTCACACGACCAGCATTTGCGTCTCGTCTCGTTTTCGTCACGTGCAGGTTTGTTGACGATGATATTTAGTCATAATTTTCGTTGACAAAAGCAATACTAGGTGCCTGTATCGCTTTTACTAGCACTTTGTAACTTTGGGTTTCGGGTAGGAACCTGAGCACAAAAAGAACTACAAAATTTGACCGCTTTACGGCATACGTCACTTCCCCCACCACCCACAACTTCCTCAGATTCTGACGTTAATGCTTTTGACGTATGTTTTCGTCATGGCCGAACAAAAGCTACAAGGAGGAAGGCAATGGTTTTATCAGAGGAAACTAAAAAAAGAAAAGGGGAGAGTGACAAATTAAAAGCCAGGATGAGGATTAACATTGGTCAAGCTTTCGCTTCGCTCGCTGGCGTGAGCTAAAAGAGGAAGGGTGCTCGACCGATGCGGACGCTTGCCTGCACACCAATGGCATTTCCAAGGTAACCCAGATAAATTCATATAAGCAGTGTAGTATTTTCTGGTATTACGGCCACAGCCGTATATGAGTGTAATAAAATGCCCACAGCCCAGCGTTCATTTCTACACACAAACACAGCCCACCTCAGTGCAGGGCTCGCACAAATAAAATCGACTCATGTCAAATGTAACGTTACATGAAATGTAGTGAATGTGCCCATGACTCAGTAGTACCCACAAACACTACACACGACATGTCCCACGGTTTCTGTAAAAATAAACCAACACACATAACGTTACAGTCAGCTCAGGCCGACAGTGTTTTCAGTGCAGTGAATGTGCCCGCTGTCCCACGTCCACATTCACTCACAGACATGATAAGCCCCATGGGGCTCGCCCTACTCGCTCTCTCTCAGCCGACTGCTATAAGGGAATGGAGCGCGACAAGGCTGCCCACGCGGCCCGCCAAAAAACACTGCAAGCACACACAATCTTGAGTTTTAGAAAAAACACGGGAGTCTGACCGTATGTTGACTTTAATTTGCGACAGTGCTGCAGAGCTTGTGCCCATAGTGGCCCCCAAAGTTCCACAGTGTGGCTTTAATGTGCATGTGAACGCCATCAGTGTTTATCACAGGTTCGCGTTTAAAGTCTGTTTAGAGGCATTCATATACATTTTTACCTTACAATTTTTGATGTTTTATCTCGCAATTCTGACTTTATAACACGTAATTGTGTTTCTATCTTGCAATTCTGAGAAAAAGAAAGAAATGGTAGCTTCTGCCACTGAATAAAAAAATACAAAAAGTAATTGTGACTTTTAATCTCACAATTCTGACTTTTGTCTCTCACAATGATGGCAAGAAAAGCTCCCATTTGTCCTTTATCTTTTATCCACACATTTTTTATTTGAATTGACTCTATATAAGTCAAGCATTTCCAAAGGCATGTAACATATATAAAAAAATGATGCACATTTGATCTTTTTTGCTTTCTTGATAATGACTGAGCAAGCAGCAAATTTTACTCCAGACTTTGTGGGATCATGTTGAGTTTTTGTTGTTGACTCATGTTGACACTTAATTTATCCACATCAGGAAGTGAGCACTGGGTTTCGGCTCACACCAATGGGCCATTACTGACACAAGCTCATAAATATGTTCTCCTAACAACAGTACTTCAACATGACACAACACAAAATACTACAGCAGTAATACTACTAGTGCTAGCTTAGTAGACCATTTCAGTAACTACAGATAGCATAGCTGTTCAAATTCAAAATTCTACATATTATTTTGATGTTTTTATTTTAATGTATGAAAACTTAAACATGCTTGTGTTCAGCCATGAACACTAAGCTGTCACTATAACACTAGCTGCATGCCACAATGGCAACACATCCTGATGATTCACAAATGTTGTTGAGACACACTTTTTACACTTCAGGGAAGGAAGGGCACATGAAAACCCTACCTGCAGCATGAGCTCGCAGTCCTCCCGTCCAACAAAGATCATTTCCCGTGGTAGACGGTGACGAGTACCAGAGCTGCTGACCAGGAACCATGATGTCACACTCATCTTTGTTGCTCAGAGAAACCCCTTTGCATCCTGTAAAAGATTGTTTCTTGAGAAGAAATACAGGTTTTATGTCATATTTTAATACTAGAAAGAGAAAATTGTTAATTGTACAGTATGTTACTGTAAAAATACCATACACTAAATTAAAACTAAATGAGTTAACTCATTTCATTTGCATTAAATTGACCGGTATATACCTATTTTTTATTTTTTATTTTACAATATTAAAGGAGAACTCCGGCGAACAATGAACCTTTGGTCTAATAAAACATCGGTACATAGTCAACCGTTCTCTGAGATTTGTTTTCATGATAATCGAATGTAAAGAGTTGTATCTCTAAAAACTGTTTAGCGTATAATGCTAGTAATGGGGGCATTGAGTAAGTAAAAAGAAATCGCTAGTTTATACCACTAACAAGGCTCAAAATAGCCCCACACTCACACAGTAACATAATGAGGCTCCATACATACAAAACGAAGCATTGAGAACTTTGTAAGTGTACAGACCGTTTAATAAGAAGATACTTTATGAAGACAGTTCACTTCGCGTATACAGGCAGGAGCCATCTTAAAAAATAGTCGCGATAAGTCAAACCACGAACGTGCTGAGTGATCTGAACTCTATGAAGTTCAACGAACTTCTGAACTGTATGAACGGCGTTCGGGGATCGACTTATCGAGACTATTTTTTAAGATGGCTCCTGCCTGTATATGCGAAGTGAACTGTCTTCATAAAGTATCTTCTTATTAAACGGTCTGTACACTTACAAACTTCTCAATGCTTCGTTTTGCATGTATGGAGCCTCATACTGTGTGAGTGTGGGGCTATTTTGAGCCTTGTTAGTGGTATAAACTAGCGATTTCTTTTTACTTACTCAATGCCCCCATTACTAGCATTATACGCTAAACAGTTTTAGAGATAAAACCCTTTACATTCGATTATCATGAAAACAAAACTCAGAGAACGATTGACTAGGTACCAATGTTTTATTAGACCAAAGGTTCATTGTTCGCCGGAGTTCTCCTTTAACACTATTAAAGTATTTTACACTATTTTACACTATTAACATTATTAAAGGTTTTATACTATACTGGAACCCAGAATGCATTTTTCTTCTTTATTTTTATGGGCGAGTCATTAAGAACAAGTTCCTTAAGTGGAATAACAACTTAGGGAAAGGAAATGGGGCTGAAATATTGCGAAATATAGCACATTGTGACGTGAAACTTTTGATTGTCACCATTGTTGAAATTCATGTTCTGATTGTTGATGTCTAAGTCATGCAGAATGTCAAATTATTTTATGCACATCATTTTAGGTGATTTCAATAGCTTTCAAAAAACTTTTTGCTGAAACATTTGCTGGATGTCATAGTGTAAATTATAGATGCTATAATCAAGAATTTAAAATGAAAGATTAGACAGAAAGGCATCAGTGAATGTTTTTTGTTTTTGCTTGTCTCACTAATCACATGCTAGTACCCAGATAGCAAACTGACATTGAATCAACGTGGAAACATGACATCGAAACAACGTTGATCTGACATTGTTTTGCTCATCGAATTAACGTTGAACCAACGTCAGACGCGTCATTCTTTCAAAACTAACGGAAAATCAACTTGAAATCAACGTTGTTTCAACATTATGAAAGCAAACCAATTTTCAATTTTCATTTAGCTTTGAAGAATGTCGCGTCTGACATTGGTTCAACGTTAATTCGATGAGCAAAACAATGCCAGATCAACGTTGTTTCGATATCATGAGAGACGTCGTTTCCACGTTGATTCAATGTCAGTTTGCTGTCTGGGTAGTGATTTTGCTTATCAGGTGTTCATCATTATCTGAATTCACCCACTACTTTTAATTTACTCTGTCAAGTGTACTATTAGTAAAAAAAAATTCACAGATGCAACCTGTTTTATGGAAAATGCTATGATACAGTCAGAATTTAGATTTACTTTTTTGCAAGAGCAAATTACTAAATAAAGCAAACACTGATCTCCATAATGGTGACATCAAACCAAACATTTTCAATTAAACATTTCAAAAAGAACTTCGGTAGACGTATGACAGAAATAAAGTCACACTGTTTAATAATATGAGTAATAACGTGTAATAGCTGGAAGTTGTAGTTTTTGTCAGGGGCGGAGTGGGACCAAAAAATCTACTGGGAAATTTCGTAGACCACCGGCCCTCGTCGCCGGCACGATTTTAATAGCCGATAGCATTTACAGTTTTATTGATTTAAAAGGAACTTTGTTGTACTATGCTGGAGTAAAGTTCATAAATGGCCGTTCTTTCCCATAGTAATTTCTAAAACTATGTTGGGTGGACTCTGTGCCTCTAGGGGGGTTCATGCTCCCCCGCAAGAAAATTTTGTACATTTTAAGGTTAAATGCATCAATCTCGTGCTCTCTGAGAGATCACAATTAAGAGCTTCAACCCATGAACTTCTCGTTGAACAAAGAAAAAGGGCTCAAACATCTTTTTAGTTATGAGAGTCTCAGTCTGCATTACATTATCAATGGTGTTTTAGGATTTATTTTATTTTAACATTTATTATAATAATGTAACAATGATTTATAATTATTCCAATGACGTACTGTAAAATCCATTTAGCCTATAAATGTAGGCTTTTATGTAAATGAAAATGAGTATTTCAAAAGTATATTTTAACCTACATTACACTATAATATAGGAAAATTTAAATACTTTTGTCCTAATTTCTTCACTTGCAAGAAATAAACCCTTGAGCTTTTATTTAGGAGAAAACAAGAGATGATCGCGTGAGCAACGCAGCACAAACCTGATGCTATTCTAATGTCAGTTATTATAATGGCGCAATGCCATATCATGGTTTCAATTTTAGTTCGTTGGCAAAATATAATGCTAGAGATCTTAATGTTAGGTTTTACATGCATCTTTACATATGTGTTGGGAAAAGGGAGAAGAGAGAGTTCGGCAAAAGACGGATTCGAACTCGCGTTCAGCGCATCAAAAGCTGCTTTCAAACACTTCACGCCCTACGACCTACGCCACTGAAGCTGTTTCAAGACGGGCGTCTTTTTGCTGTAAAGACAGGAACTTAGTACAAATATATGCTCCGTTATAGAAAATGTTAAAAAAAAAAAATGTTTTCTTCCCTTAGCTTGGGCCCCAAGTGCACATGGCGAACTTCCAATAAATACATTTTATCAGACCGGCCCTCGCGGCCTCGAAACACTACTGGCCCACCGGGAAAACTCCAGACTCTCCCGATTGCCACTCCGCTACTGGTTTTTGTTGTTCCTCTTTCCTTCAGTGATTATACTTGTTAACAGCAGGTGTTGTCAACAATCTTTTACTTATCTCACTGCAACACTGCTTCAATGTTACTTTTACTCTTTGTAGGGTGGACACTGTGACTCAGTGTAGTTGAAAGGCTTAACAATTTAAGATAAAAAGACACACCCACAAAATGTATTTTAAAGGGGGGAGGGGTTGATATCGATTTCACTTTTTTCATTTTAAATAGTGTGTGATGTTGCTGTTGGTGCATGTATCTGCAAAGTTGCAGCGCTGAAAGTTCAGTGTAAGCAGAGATATCATCTTTTAAAAATCAGGAAGTATACTGCCTACAAAAACGACTCGTTTTAGACGTCACTAACCCATACATTTGCATCAACCCTCCCCCCGGAAAATGCAAAAAAGGGCATGACCATATTCCTGCGGCTCGTCGAGTGTGTTATGACGTGGAAACGACGTCTCGCCCAGCTGTCAGGTCTTCTGTGTTCAAGCTTCCCACAGACGCTGTACTTCAACAACAATGGATATAATTTATGTTTGATTATGTTCCTGAAAATGACGATCGTAATTTAGCTCTCTGTGCTGCACATTTTAAGGAAGACAGCTTCCAGAATCTCCACGAATTCAATGCCGGATTCAACAAGAAACTGTTACATGAAGCAGTTCCAACTTTCAAACCAGAGGCAGTAGTTGATGGGCCACAACCTGTAAGTAGGCTAAGGCTTAATCATTTTAAATGTTTATTGTAAGCCACGCTCTCCTCTGTCTAAGGCGTAATTATTTTAAATGTTCATTGTAAGCCGTGCTCTCCTCTGTCTCCTGAACGACCTGTTGACTTCCTGAGTCTATGAAACCACTCCCTCAGAAACAGGCAGTGGGCTCAGATTGGTTAGTTTGGGTCAGTGTGTGGTGATTGGCTAAACTGTCGCTCACGTTGTCCGGAAGGTTAACGCCCATTACCTTTACGGGCGAAACGTGTTACCTTTACGGGCGAAATGAAAACTAAGACTTTTTAAAAAAGAAAAACCACAAATACATGTTATTTTGCACCCCATAAACTGAATCATGTAAAGAAAAAAAGCAGTAACCCCCCCCCCCCCCCTCTAATTTGCAGGACAATGTTCTACAATGGCAGTAATTTGCTGCATGTAATTTGGTAAAGTAAGCCTTCAATAACTCACCTTTAAGACTGTAAGTATATAGTCATTATTCCTCACAATTGTGCAAGACTTCAACTAGCCTACCTATACCCTAACACAGAAATATAGACATAATGTGTTCTTGTTTTTTTAACTGAAGTCAGTTTCCTCAAAATGGAAGCTTAACAGTTGCACATTTACTGACAGTTTTACGTTATTAGATAAGACAGCTGCATATTACATCGAAATAACAGCCTATTTTTCCGATTTTATTTGAAAAGGTACTAAATAACAAAGGATGAAATGTAGATGTCTAAACAGCAGATTAAACGTTTTTTAAAAGATATTTTTAAAATGTGCCAAAAACCTGTGCAAGAAGCTTATTTTAGAAGGCCTGCAGATATTCATCTTTCATCTGTTCGTCTCAAAGAGACGATGCTATCATCAGTTTTTCATAACATGCACACGCATGCTATTAGCTTACAATACTAAGCAGCACGCACGCATAGTTTTTTGTTGTTGTTGTTGTTGTTTGTTTGTTTTTTTTTGTTTGTTTTTTTGTATTTTATGTCACATTTGCATTAGATCTGGAGGCCTGTCTGCTCCATGCGATCATACAGTAAGAGAGTCTGAGCAATGGGTTGGTGATGGAGGATCAGCTGCCGTCGCAAGAGAGACGCCTTCTGCTGCCTTATTTCTCTCTCTCCTCCACAATTACATCAGACATCAATGTTGTATCAGTAGGCTGTACGTCAACCAAATCCACGAATGTACATTTAGCCATATTGTATCATAATGTATTACAGATTGTAGTAGCTGAATTAAGACATGTCCGAATTTATTCGCGTAATTCGAGCGCATATCAAACTCGCATGTAGCCTGCATGAATCGTTATGAGGTAGCAACACATGAACCTTTCTGTATTGTGAAACAGATACATCTAGTGCGCATCTGCCCTTTCATCCATAGCCTCCGATTACACTGAATATCCTCCGACCTTACCTACTCGACTCCAGATGCGTTGATCTCTCCCAGATAAACAAACCAAACGTCTTCTTGCTTTCCCTAATGCGATAGGCGCTTCTCCAACTGCACCGTTATTCTGTGAAATCCAGTTTAAAGGTCGTGGATTCTCATCAGTGTTGTGGTCCCATGTAGACAACACCCTCTCCCGTTAGACACGGATCTTGCTGTCATGGCATCTGTGTCCAGCGCCGCCACCGGTGCGTGTGAACAGCAGAGACTGCAACACCAGTGCACTGAACAACCACGCACCCGCGCGGGAAATATATAAATATAATAGAAATATAAAGCTGGCCGTGCTTTTTGGCAGCTATTAAAGAAAATGTGCATTACTTTCAAACACTTTATAGCTGAATTCAAATTTGATAAATATTTATCATATTCTTTTTTTCCAGTCCACCTTTCACCACAAATATTAATTTTATATAGATTTTTTTTTTTAAATTAAGAAAATGGGTGACCCTTTGGACAGATTTAAAACACGTATTAATTCATTAAAATTAAGTCATATTAATATGCTCAAAGCTCGAGGAAGGAAGCATCTCAGCATCTTCAGAGGAGTACACAGGGGCCGTGATTTCGTCTGTTGTTGTGAATTGTAAGACAGAACCATAATTTCCTGTAAATGCTGAGTTTGATGTTGATGAGGTGAGATTTAGCTGATCCTTCAAAGTTACTGTTTCATTTGACAGAGGATCAGCATGTAGAAATTTTGACATTGATTCAAAGTTTTCCTCAGATTTTCAGGGACGTACTGAGGCAAACTGATGTGCTTAATCACAACATTAATGTCCGCGATGCTGTTCCCATTAAGCGGCATCCTTATCGGATGAATGCAGCAAAGAGGGCTGCAATGAGGAAAGAGGTTGAATATTTGTCACAGGAGGATCTTGCAAAGCCCAACGTGAGTCCGTGGAGCTCTACATGTATCCTAGTTCTTAAGCTGACGGAACAGTTCGATTTTGTACAGATTATCGTAGAGTCAATTCTGTAACCAGTACAGATTGTTTTCCATTGCCAAGAATGGAGGACTGCATTGACAATGTGGGTTCTGCTAAATTTGTTACAAAATGAGATATGCTCAAAGTTAATTGGCAGGTGCCATTGACACCAAGGGCATCAGACATCTCTGCTTTTGTAACTCCAGACTCGTTCCTGCAATTTAATGTTATGGTGTTCGGACTCAGAAATGCACCTGCGACTTTTCCGAGGTTAGCGAATGCAATGTTGGCAAATGTGCCCAATAGTAGCTCATGTTTAGACGATTTGATTGTCTATACTTCTACTTGGCCTGAACACCTATCAGTGTTGTCCAACGACTTGCTCATTAACTTTGTATTAGGATAAGTGTAAGATCAGCTAAGCTACTGTAACATACTTGGGTAAGCAAGTGGGGAGAGGTCAAGTACGTTCAGTAGAGGCCAAAGTTGATGCCATTAAAGAATTCCCTACACCTACTCGTCGGGAGTTGAGAAGATTCTTAGGAATGGCAGGGTATTACATACTTTTTTGTAGGAATTTTTCTTCCTTTGCAAAAACCCCTGACAGACTTGCTCAGTCCCAAAAAATAATTTGTTTGGTTAGTCGAGAGCCAGTGTGCTTTCGAAACCATTAAGCATTTTCTATGAAGCTCTCCCCTTCAAGTTAGAGGTGGAGAAGGCTGGAGCAGGCGGTGTGTTGTTGCAGGAGGACGAGGAAGGTATTGATCACACTATTTGTTTTTTCTCTAAGAAATTTAACAAACATCAGTGTATTGTACCCCACAATTGAGAAAGTGTACCCCACAATTGAAAAAGAGGCTTTGGCTTTGTTGTTGTCATCACAGCATTTCGAAGTAGATGTTGGGTCAAAGTGCAGTGAGACAAGGCTATAAATCTCCACTTCCAGTATCCTCACACTCAATATAGCCTACTAGCCGAGACTCTTCTTTCTGTGTACAGATGTGACATAATGACTCAACATAGCCCACTAGCCGAGACACTTAAGCCAAGTTCACACTACAAGATTTTAAGTCCGATTTAAGCCCGATTTACAAATCGTTAAGCTCGCCGACAGGTCAGGGTGTTATTGCATGCAAATCGCGGGGGATTAGCGGACGATGAACGCTTGCCCATCTTGCCCATGAAAGAGCCAACAACGCATCAAAGGCACCTTGCAGACGCGTCGCAGAGCCCAGAAAAATATCTAGCATGCTAGATATCCAGAGCTGTCGCGAGACTCAACCTCAGTGATGTCATGAGTTCCAGCCAATCAGAGCAAGGCATGGGTTGAGGTCACCGGGTAAATCGTATTTTTTATTTTTTTGCATTTTTTTTTCAGAGCAAATCATCGCGTGAACAGTTTGAAGCACTAGTTTCTTTCTGACATCCATATTCGGGTGTTTTGTTCTTCGTCTTCTTCGCTGGGTATTGACGCACATGCTGTTTTGCGTCATTTCCGGTTTATCTTATCGCATGATTTTTCGTGACAAAATGTGGTTTGTAGACAAGATAGAATCGTTGGCTGACAGAGTTGTTGTCAGCTCGTGTTGTGCGTTTCCTCCTGTTGCGGATCAATCACGTTGTGTTGTGTGGTGTGAGCTCAACAACTTAAACACTCTGGATTTCACAGAGAGCAAGTCATTTAGTGTGAACCGCACAGTTCAGCCCAACATTTTAAAATCATTTAGTGTGAACAAGGCTTTATGTTACGTTTAATAGGCAGCCAATGCAGGTAATCATTACAACAATCTAGTCTTGATGTCATGAACACATGAACTAATTGTTCTGCATTTGTCAATGAGAACATATGGCGTAATTTAGACACATTTTTAAGATGGAAAATTTAATTAATTAATTTTCTGTATTGGTAAGTTTTGTTACCAATTGAATACATATAGAGCTGGGTATTATCAGCATAACAGTGAAAGCTAATTCCATGTTTCCTAATGATATCACCCAAGTGTAGCCCCAGCGAAGTGAACAGTAACGGTCCAAGTACTGAGCCTTGTGGTACACCATACTGAAATTGTGATCCACAAGACATCACTTCATTTACTGCTACAAACTGATAACGCTAATGCAATTCCACTAATGCCAACATAGTTTTCTAGTCTATTTAAAATAATGTTGTGGTCAATTGTGTCAAATGCAGCACAAAGATCAAGTAACACTAAACACTATACTAACTATACTAACAGTAACTAAACACTAACGATCGGAGCAAATCATTTCTGACTCTAATGAGAGCTGTCTCAGTACTGTGGTGCGGTCTAAATCCTGACTGAAAATCCTCGATGTCATTTCTTTCAAGAAAGGAACACAGTTTTGAGGATACTGCTTTTTCCAGTATCTTTGACAGAAAAGGCAAATTCAGCCTGTACTTATTCTGTAGGATAAAGTTGCGCTGTTTAAAATAGATACCTATTCCATCATGTGAAGGTAGCTGAAGAAGACAGCAATTTTTTATCTCAACAACGGTGACAAAATAATATTCCTAAAACAATTCAGATCATAATTTATTCATACCGCAATGTATGATGGGGCTATGAATTAGTTTTGATTGGTGGCACCCAGAATGCACTGCAACATGCTTTAATACTGTCGCCATTGCTGAGAATCACAGGCTGATTGTTGATGTCTATGTGTCCAAACAAAATTCAATTTTCAACGCCTTTTGATCAGAAAAACTTTTAGGAAATCTTCTGGATTATTTTGAAAAATCTGGATTTTATGCTAAAACCAAACACTGATCTGCATAATGGTGACAACATTAGATTTTTCTTCTTCAGTGACTCTACCTGTTATCATCAGGTGTCTTCAATAATGCTCAATCATCACTCAATCAATAACTTAAACAGCACATTAACTTTAACACTCTTCAGTGTTTTATTTAACACTCAAATTTTAACACTTTAACACTATTGAGTCTTTAACATTCACAACAGAGTTTTTTCTGCGGAGTAACATTCAGGAAACTGGATATTTTTATGTTCTTGGAAATTAAATGTTAGAAATCAACATTACTATCATGTTGAATTTTTAATCGAAAATTAGTTTTAAAGAATGTTTGAGGAACATTGTACCTTTTAAAACACGTTCTTCTAACGTCAAGAAAACTGGACATTTTTCACGTTCCCAGAACCGACACTGAATATTTGAAGAACGTTCTTGTAACAAAATTCTGTTAGCTGGGAATATATTTCATAGACAGATCTGATAAATTATAAAATGCAATGACATAAAAAAAAATCCTTTATAACCACTAGGTGAAACCATCAGTACATGGTTCCATTAAATAGTGCTTTCCTCAATGGTGGAAAAACAATCTATTATACTGAATATCTAAATGGATGCTGTTTTGTTCAAGAAACCTCTGGATAACAGTATATAGGCAAATGCATTGAACATTTGAAAGATCATTCTAATAAAAAGGAATCAAAACAAAATTTTCTCTCTTTTTTTCTCAATCTTTTCTCATGTTCTCATAAACTCATACTCCAACATAAGTCTTCATCTGTAATTAATTACTTCTTTGGTATTCAGGTAATATTGTGTCTGACACAAACCATGATATATTACATTCATACATAAGGACCACATTTGTAAGAACAACTAAAGAGAAGAAAGAAAGAAATACAGATTTGGAACAACATGAAGGTGAGTAAAGAATAAACATTTTTATTTTTGGTTGAACATTTTAAATTTAAGAAACAATGTGCATTTGTGAGAAGCCAGGAGAAGCCCTCAATAAAGAATTTGACTGAATGATAACCACTGGTGAAATCTTCAAAGTGTGAATCCAAGGAAGGGTGAAACTACTAAAGACGCGGAGTGCATCAATGGTGAGTGTTTTTGTGCAGAAAGTAAATAGTAATTGACATATTTCGCCACAAAATGAAAATTCTGTCATTTGTTCAACCTTCAATCTGTACGGATTTCTATCTTTAAGTATGCTTTAATAATGCAAAGGTGTAATGTTCAAAAATGCACTGGCAACTCTTCCATATAATGGAAGTGAATGGGGACTGGGTAATACGATTATCGCGATTTAACATGTCAAATGCAAATGAAACCCATTACAATTAGTTAAGCTACGCTGGATCAACGCAACACAACAAGTAGTCAAAGGTAAACTGATGACCCATTCTATGTCTGGCAACCTCCACGTGCGTAGGCTTCTCCTGACAACAGGACAAATGTATTTGTAGCGTTCACTTTGACACATCCAGTGTGTAGGA